CATTTCAGCCATTTGAGCCACAAGCCATTATCTCCATTTCCAACTTTCTTCTCTTTCCTAATTGGGTTTCATTCCACCTCTAATGTGAGCATGACATCTTTTACTGGTGTAGCCCACCATCTACGAGAGCTTTTCCACGAGAGACAAAACTAACTCTTACTGTAATCTCTGTATCAGCAAAGTGAAAACAAACTCTTTTGTTTGGGTAAGAATAGGTGAAGGGTCAATAAGATGCCCTCCTCTTTTATGAAAAGGACTGGGACTTTCACAGGTGTCAAAGATACACAGTGCACAGATAGCTATCTCTGGATCAGTTTCCTATGAAGATAGAAAGGGAGTATAGCTTGGTGCCGGTTTTCTGCCTATTGCTGCATGACACATTTAATTGTTGAAAGATCAAATAATAACGTTTAAGTCTTTTATTAAGAAGTTTCATTTTTTTCCCTAATCAAACTATTAGTTGGTGGTCTGTCATTGTACTGAATTCACAGGTAAACTATAAAGCTTCCACTAGCATACTGTAGGTTTCTCTGTAATTTGAGAAAATGCCTCAGACAGGACCCTTCTGAATTCACATGAAGATAAAGTGAGGAGGTGTCTTCTGTTGAGATTGTTTTTTTCAAATAAAAAACAATTAGACCTAATGGGATTGGTTTGTTAGTCTGACCTACCTTATAAGGCTGACAATAGCCTTTCCCTTGGTAAGTACTTTCTTGAAAGATATAAAATTGGATGCTCATCATCATTAATCTTTTGCATTAACACAACTCCTCTGATTATATCAGAGGTATCACCATGCAAAATAAATGGAAGGTTAAAATCTGACCTCTTAAGAGAGGATATAAACTGTTGAAAAAAAAATTGCCACATGCAGATGTCTATGAGGCTTTTGTGTTGGTGGAAAAATGAGATATTCCATAATATTCCAAATATCCTAGGAATGATCTTGGTTTGTTCATGGAAGATGTATCTGTTGAATAGCTTGCATATTTTTTTTCTTATAATATTTTGCTGCTCAACTATGTAACTTGAGTAATGCAGTTTAGAAAATCCCAGGTGACATTTAGCTGAATTGATAGTTATGCCTCCTGTATTGAAACTGGATATAACATCTTTTAACTACTGCACATGTTCTGATAGAGCTTTAAATAAATATCATCCAGGTGAGCTTCCCAGTATTTTCCCTGGTCTGGAAGTCTGTTGTCCATGAATCTCTGGAAGGTTGGAGGAGCTCCATTTATAGCTGAAAGGCATGTTTACAAACTATAGTCCTTCAAGTGCAGACAGGCACGGTGGCCCAGCAGCTGAATGATGCTGGATTTGTTGGCTAGAGAAGGCTGATTCCCTGCACTTCAGCAGTTTGAGCCTAACACTGCATGACAGAGTGAGCTTCCATCACTTGCCTCAGCTTCTGCCAATTTAGCAGTCTGAAAGCATGCAAATGCAAGTAGATAAATAGGTACAACTCCACTGGGACTAACAGTGAAGACAAGAAACCAACCCATGCCAGATCTGCCCAACTTGAGGTAAAAACCGGCAGAGAAAAAAGCCCCCAATGATACTGACTGTCCTGTAGAACACATTAGCTACTTTGTATGTGGAACTAGTTCACCCCTGTGTTGCACCCTAGATACCATGCAAGCATGAACTAAATGAACTAGCAATCTTAGGCAACCAAACTACTACTCTACATTAACATTGTAGACTCCTGGCTTAATGTACCATCGTCATATGCTCAATAAATAAATAAAAGGTGCAGCAAAATATATTTTTCCTTTGGAGACTTCTTTGAAGGGAACTCACAATTATCCCTTACATAAATTTATAGCAAATAAATATTTTGCCCCATGGTAACTGATTATGAGATAATTATGGCATAGGGTAACTGTCAAACTTGATTGCGCTCAATTGGCAGAAAATCTAACTTTACCATTTGCATGGGACTTAGTAATACATGTGACATACACACGTTGACTGGCACCTAACTGTATTTCATTTTGTATGTTCTGTACTTTGTTTTGCAATGTGTTTCTGACTCTTTGTGGAATGCTTTAAGGTTTTGCTTTATTGGTTTTGGGCCTATCATATCAAGCATGTACTCTACTAATTCTGTAGTGTCTGATTTAGTTGTCAATTCTTCCAATTCTTCTAGTGGTACTTCTGCTTTTTCTATTTATGAAAATAAAATAATTTCTATATGACTCACAAGGAACTATACAATTGCTTTGCTAACTTTTTTGAATTGTGAGCTACTTATGAAATAATAATATTTTTTCTCAACCCATCTTCTCCAGTAGTTTGTAAGATAGACTTAGTTCTTTCATTCCTAAGTCTATTTTGTAGTTAAAAAGATCCCATTCTCTGAATCAGAGTAAATGGCCCTTACAACTTAGTTTGCAATTTATATTCCTGAATATCAACAAAAGCAACACCTCTAGAAATTTCATTGCAGCTTTAATATAATGACATTCCTTGGTGTCTTGCACAAGTTTAAAATTCTCCTATGGTATGTCATAGGACAGTGATGGTGAACCTTTTAGAGACTGAGTGCCCAAACCACAACCCAAAATTCACTTATTTATTGCAAAGTGCCAGGGCCACATCAGCATTGTGGTGCCCTCGGGGGGGGGGGGACAGGGAGGCTCCTCTGAATGCTGCCTCTGGCACGCAAAACCCGGGGGCACAAAAATGGGCCATCATGCTGCAAGGCGCAAAAATGGCCGCTGCCGCGCCACAGGGTGCAGATACAAGGTGCTGCACCACATAAGAACGGGGCAGGGCTAGTGAGTATCATGCAGTGTGTTGATGCTCGCAGCCCCGTGTGCGCATGCACACATGTAAAATGCTTCCCCCTCCCTTTTCTTCCAGTCCATCAATCGACAATGGTGGTGACTTCTGCTCTACTACCTCTACTCGAGCTTGCTAGTTGGCCCCTCGCCTCCTTTGTGCTGGGCGGGGCTCCTGCTCCGGGTGGCGGTGGTGGCCTGATGGACCTGCTGCTGGCGGCAGTGGTACGTGTGCCAACAGAGAGGGCTCTGAGTGCTGCCTCTGGCACGTGTGCCATAGGTTCACCACCACTGTCATAGGAGTTTATGCCATTTCCTCCTTTGTGTGACAATACTGTCCACTTGGTCTTTGGATCTGGAATTTCACTGGTCCATCCATGACAAGAATGCTGTTGGTTTTGTCCTATACAACATACATTCAACTTTAAAGACCTGAATCCAAGTGGATGTACAAATGCTTTAACAAACTGGATGGATTGGGGTTTGATCCATGAGAATTTCATCAGGGACCCTCACTATCATACACTTGAGTAATTCATTAGCAATATCTTTTTGCTGTGACTGTATACAAGGAGTTTGCCTCTGGGCATTTAGTATTACAGTCTGAAATCACAAGTATATACTGATTTCTTCTTGCTGACTTTGGAAAAAACCAGCTATAGCCATAACATAAAGTAGAATCAAGGGAATTCTTTCCACAACTGTCTTATATTATTTTTTTCCCTTAAGTTTTTTATATTGACATTTTTGGCAAGACTGACAATTAATTTTCTTGGTCAAAAGTATATGTCCCTAAGCCTCATTAGAGATTTTTTTCTTTTCACATGTGACTTGAGATTTTCACTGTCAAAATTCAAGAAACCTTTTATAAAATACTGGGAAATTGCAGTCTGCTCTGCATTGTTTTCAGAATGGAGTTCCTCATAACCTCTATGAAACAAAGTTTCTCCACTACATTAACTTTAAGATGTGTGGACTTTAACTCCCAGAATTCCTTAGCCTACATGTTGCCTGCGGAATTCTGGGAGGTGAAGTCCACACATCTTAAAAGTTGATGAGGTTGAAAAATACTGCTATAAAGATCTCCTTTTTCACAAAGACAGGTGATGTAAACAAAACTGCTTCTTGCAATGATAAAAGCTATTGCCTCTCTGGTGGTTGAAGTACTCCGCAAGATGCTGTTAGAAATTTGGTTTTTATTATTCAGCTGAAGTTTCTTCCCTGGAGAAATCTATTCAATACTAAATGTCATGTAGATACTTAATGAATTTTTTTTTAAAAAAGAATCATTTTATTTGTATTTTTCTTCGATGGTAAGTGCCAAAAAGAGCATTAGAATAGTTGAAATAATTCTCCCACAAGCAAATTGCTTCTGTTCAGACAAAGAGTTCCCTTTGGCATCAGATTATTTTAAGTGTTTGAGAATTTCATACAGAATTTCTATCTCTAAATACCACTAACAATCAATCTTGGTTCTTGATCTGACAAAGGATAGAGAAGATATCATGGAAAATAGTGAAATGTTATGTGAGCAAAATTGGATTGTAAGTATTATTCTCACAACACATTATTCCCTTTTTAACTGAACTATTACGAATGATCCACTATGCAGTTCCTACATCGTAATTTTTAATCCTTGTGAAGGCCTGTAAATTGGTATAGGTAGTCCTCAATTTATGACCACAATTGAGCCCAAAATTTCTGCTGCTAAGTAAGACAGTTGTCAAGTGAGTTTTGCCCCATTTTATGACCTTTCTTGCCACAGTTGTTGAGTGAATCACGGCAGTTGTTGTTAGTAACACGGTTGTTAAGTGTATCTGGCTTCCCCATTGTCTTTGCTTGTCAGAAGGGCACAAAAGGGGGTCACATGACCCCAGGACACTGCAACCGTCATAAATATGAACCAGTTGCCAAGCGGCTGAATTTTGATCATGTGATCATGGGGGAATGCTGCAATGATCGTAAGTGTGAAAAACAGTCATCAGTTACTTTTTTCAATGTTGACGTAACTTCGAATGGTCACTAAATGAATAGTTGTAGAGGACTACATGTGGTGTATACCTTCTTTTTCTTCATTTTTTTGTTTTGTTTTTAGGATGGCACTCAGCAAGGTTAGTGAGCTTTGCTAAATACGATTCATTAGGATTTTGGATGTTACAATTTTTCACTGGCTGCTTTTAATATGCTGATTAATTTTTTTTTCTTCTCGCTTAGGTAATCAGTGTTTTTCCTGGGGATGGAATGAGCACGGCATGTGTGGCAATGGAACAGAAGAAAATGTTTGTCTTCTTCAGCCTGTGGGAGCTCTTTGTTCTGCAGAGCTGCTTTCAATTGGATGTGGAGCTGGACACTCCTTAGCATTTTGCGGTTTACCAGGCTTAGACGTAACACTGTAGAACCCTCTGCACAATTTTAAATTCATTCTAAGGCAGGGGTCTCCAACCTTGGCAACTTTAAGACTTGTGGACTTCAACTCCCAGAATTCCTCAGCCAGCAAAGCTGGCTGAGGAATTCTGGAAGTTGAAGCCCACAAGTCTTAAAAGTTGCCAAAGTTGAGGACCCCTGTTCTAAGGTTTATGCTTGGTTGATAAATGCAGTTAATGTCAAAGTAATTCAGTCATACCTAGCGATGGCAAGATTATCCATATTATATACTGACATAGTCGTTTTTCCGGGTTCATATTTAAAAGAAGAAGAGAGATTTTTATTTATTTTTTTGCTTTTGTTTGAGGGGGCAAAGTATGAAAACATTTAGGTGTGATGAAATGAAATAGGATGTGCTTTATTTATTGTCAAGCATGAAAAAACCAGATCCACATGTAAAGGTTATAATTAAGTGATTTATTATTACAGCCTATACATAGGAATCTCCTCATATTAAGAGTTAGCACCTGGACAGAACTAGATAAGTGTTAATGGTGTTCAAGGGGGGGGGGGTTGGACTTAGTTCGCTTGTGGCTACAAAATGATTCTAAACTGAGGCCTAGTTTAACTCCTCCCCCTGGCTCTGCCAGTCTCTTTCCTACATTTATTGATATCAAGCAAATGATTACTTCAGGTATTCCTCGCTTAATGACTGCCCTATTTAATGACTCTTCAAAATTACGATGGTGCTGAAAAAGTAGCTTTATGACCAGTCCCTGCCCTTGGCAACTGTTACAACATCCTGCGGTTATTGGGAACTCCAATTGTACACTTCATAGCCAGTTTCCAACAAAGCACAATGAAGAAGCCAACAATAAAATTACAAGTCACAATCACCTGATGTCTTTCTTAAAGACTATGTTGCTTAGCAACAGGGTTGCTGGTCCTAATTATGATAATTGAGGACTACCTATCCAGTTTTTATCCAAGAAAATATAGTAGAGCATTATTCTCAATATTGAGGATTTATAATTGGACTATACTGTTTCATCAATACAAATGCCATCAGATATGGCGACTTTATCACCTGGGGACTTCAAGGTGAGAAAAATCCTGGATAGATGCATCTCTGAAAGCGTATGGGTGCTAAGGATGGAATTCTGCCTGCTGACGTGGTTGTTCCTACAAAATTTCTTCAGACAAAGAAAAGCTAAAAAAATTGCTCATGTGTGCTCTGGATGGCAGTTCCTTATGAGGAAGCCTGCAGCAACCAAAGGATTCTGCAAGCACCTCATGAGTAAAAAGTACATGGAGCCAAGGAAGATGTAATTTGCAGCCTCAATGGAGCCTTTAATACAGGGGTTTCAAACTTATAACATCATGTGATGTGTTGCGATGTATCGCAACTTTTCCCATTGCCGGCAATGGGGTGGGCGCGATTTCGTTGTAACACATCCAGCCTGTGGGCCGGCAGTTTGACACCCCTGCTTTAATAGATACCAAATCCCACTTTCTTAAGCACTTTAGATAGTAACTATTTAAAAACTAAAAAATTTTCGGGAGTAACAGTTTAACTGAACCTTCTGTGTTTAACAGAAAAAGAAGAGAAAAAGTCTTCAGGAATTAACTTGCAGCAAAAAGCACATTAAAACTTGGACTATAAAAGTTTTAAACAAATATAGGGACCAGTGGTATATATATTTTTTTAATTTTATTTTTACTAGGTTCCTATATAAATGGAGGAGAGGAATGTGAGGAGAGTAGAAGTGGCTGAAATGGCTAAATTGACTTGTCTAATTAAAGAAGGAGCAACAATAATTATTTTTTATAGAAGAGTGGAAACCCTTTATGGACTTTTTGCTGCAAATGGACAAAAATGGGATCCAAAATATATAATTTCAGAGGCTGGAAGTGGTGAATAATCATGCTAGTAATGGTTTGCCTTCAGAAGTTGTGGGTGCTCAATCACTGGAGGTTTTTAAGGAGAGATTGGACAACCATTTGTCTGAAATGGTATAGGGTCTCCTGCTTGATCAGGGGGTTGGACTAGAAAACCGCCAACGTCCCTTCCAACTCTGTTATGGTGTTGTATATGTTCTGTTTTCTACAAAGAAGATTGGGAGTTGCTTCTTTAGATATCTTTCTTCTTCTTTATCCCACTTTTTCATTTTTTTTATATCTCTTACATACATATATATAAGCAATCAAGTACTTTGTGTACTAGACTACGTTACTACTATTCATAGTTTCTTGTTGACATTACCTCTCTACATATTATTGTCTATTGAATGAATGTTTTGCTGGGTCACAAATCCAGATGGTATTTTGAAAGGCCTTTGTGAATTAGTTCAATATCTAAGTGACAGCACTAGATACAAAAATACTTTTCCTGAGTCTTCCTCTTTCGTTCTTTATTTCAGTCCTGGATTGAATGCCCATCTGCTGGAGTGTATTTTATAAGTTAAACTCCTGAATATATTTATTAGAATTATGCAGCCCTTTTGATTTAGTTTCAACAAATGTTTTGACACACCCAGTTCTGTGAGCATAGCACCTGCCTACAGCTCTTTGAAACCTTCATATCTTTTCTCAGGATTCGATGAATATCCTGTGAGAGATAGGGGAAAATATGGCTGCTTTAAAGAGTTGCAAGCAGGTGCCACATTTGCTCTCCTGTGCTTTCTAAAGCCCTTTTTTGGAATGGAATCAAAGGCATTGCAAAGCCCTTGAATGTATATATTTATTAGGCAGTAGAAGGGGCATAAATATAATCGTAGCCTTCACAAATAAGCTAGTTAATTATAAAAAGAGTTTTATTTTCTTAGACTGGAGTTTGTCAAGTGTATAAAATGCAGAAACTTTCAGGATACAACTGAAAAAAAGCAAACCATATATACAGTATGGAATTCTGTGCCACATCAGTGATAACAGTATTGTACCAATCTAAGACTTTGTGTTAATAGTTTGATATTCTGTAAGCATAATCTGTCCATCTGTCTATAAGCAGTTTATCTGGAAAGCCAATTAAAATGTATTAACAAAATCTGTTAGCCATTTGTGATCTCTGTTACTTTACCAGAAATTATTGCAGTAACTACTCCCTTTATATGCACTTTAGTTTACATAAATCATAATGTATGTACACAAGTATGTTTGGGTAGGTTAGAAATAAAAGGAAAGTCAAAGAGATAGGTCTGTTGTGAGGAAGCAAGAATAAAGCAATAATAGGTGAAGATGAGAAGGCAGGATTTTTAATTTTGCACCAGTCTTCTCCCAGAAGAGAAATTGAGCTTTAGTTGACCATAGTTATGCTATTGGGGGGAGGAGAAGGCAGAAGATAGGCTAGGGTAAGGCAGCAGTTAGTTAATTTAAAGTCTACAGGACCAGGTAAATTACATTTGACAGTGCTGAAGGAGCCTTTATCAGTAATCTTTGAAAATTTTTGAAAAACTACTAAGGTTTCAAAAGGTGAGCAAATAGCATTCCCATCTTCAGAAAGGGGAAGGAGGAGGACCCAAGAAATTACAGATCTATCAGCTTGAAGTCTGTATTGGGTTAGGCCTTTGAAAAGATGATAATGCAGCATATTTGTAGAATGGCCTTATTTTCTAGGTGAGGGGTCTCCAAACTTTGCCACTTTAAGACTTGTGGAGTTCAACTCCCAGAATTCCACAACCAGCTGAGTTCTCATCATTGAAAACGTCCAAACAAGGTAGATGGTCATTTATCAGAAATGATCGAGTGCAACCTATGCCGAGTAGAAGATTGGATTGGATAACTTGTGCAGTCGCTTCAGTTCTATGATTCTAAGAATAATGAATAATGTTTGCAACAATATTGTATTATTTGCTTTGCGTTCATAGAAACCAACACTGGTTGCTAGCCCTTTTTAAAGGTCTCTCCCCCTTCCCCAATTACCCAGGACATTATAGAACTTTGAGACAGAATGGTCTTCTACACACAGACTTCACATATTCCGTACCATCCAGCAAACACTGAGATAGGTATACAATAGGAGATTCCTAAGCAAGTCGAGATACTGAGAGCATGGTGGCAGAGTGGTTAGAGTGCAGTACTGCAGGCTAATTCACTGCTCACTGCCAGCAGTTCAATCCTGATGGGCCCAAGGTTGACTTAGTCTTCCATCCTTCCGAGGTTGTTCAAATGAGGACCCAGATTGTTGGGGGCAATAAGTTGACTCTATAAACCGCTTAGAGAGGGTATAAAGCACTATGAAGTCTAAATGATATTGCTGTTGCTATTGGCCTGGTTAACACAGAAGCTACATGGTTATTCTGTGTCAGAGATACTCTAGTAGATCCTGCACTAAGCAAGGGAATGAACTAATTAAATGAGGTGACAGTCTTATATTGTGCTTTCCCTCAGATTGCACCATAAACATTTCAATAATGCAGAAAGATGTTCAATGTGAAGAGGAAGATTGCTTGAAAGAAAAAAAAATTACAGTATTCATGAGGTGTCCTTCCAGCTGTCTTTGCTTTGTTTGTAATCATCAGCACTCAGAAATCATTTCATAATGTTGAAAATGCTATAAACTATTTTACCTCTTCAAGTTCTTGCTGACATCCTTTTGCAGAAGGTTGTTTTTTTAAAAAAAACAAAAACAAAACCATGTTCTGCTATTAAGCTTACTTGTATTCAGGCTATTAAACTTTTTAGCTCTTGATTAGGCATTTGCTTGTTCTAACTGTATTTCCTTGGCTAAGGGGAAGGATTATGAATTGAATTTTCATTCACAGCTGCATTTTGTATTCCTTGTTCTCCTCTTCCTTTGTTCTTCCTTTTTATTTTTCCTCTTAAGCTTGAGTTCATTTAAGGTGTACACCTTTAGTGATTTACACTATATTGTTAATTCTGTACTGTATATCTATTGTTTTGCATTTGTTAATTATCTTTGCATACTAAAATAAATAGAATTTCTTTCCTTTACCCTCCTCCTCTTTGATTTGCACAATATTAACAATAACATTATCTGATTAGTTGTTTAATCTGTGTAAGGGGCATCAAGATGCATTGCAGAATATTTTGATCATGTGGTATATTATTTTTTATCAAGTAATCTTTTTAAATTTTCATTTATTTGGGAGGGGGTATTGCCTTTTGATATGAGATAGATGGATAGAACAATTTTTTTCTCCATTGTTTTTGATGTTAATCATATTCTGAGCCTATTGGGTCAAAGCAAAGGCCTATCAGGTATCCTGGGACAGAATTAAAACCGTACATCCTTAGGTGTCCTCCTGAATCTATGTATGCAACCCAAACAGCCCTCTGAAAGCTGCTGGTGAATTATTATTTTGTGTGACAAAAATGGAACATTATTAAATGCAGCTGAATTAGGAATTCTGGGAGTTGAAGTCCATAGGTCATAAAAGGGCCATAGTTCCCCACCCCTGATGTAAAGGGTTGTGTTCCTACAGTGCACGTTTGCTAGACAAGTTTCTTTTGGATTGAACAAACTTACAATAATTAAAAAATGGGGGTGATCCAAAGCTATCATTTACAGTAAGTTCCGTTACTAAAAGGAAAATTAGAACATTCTAAGATACGAATTCTCAGTCCTTCAGATAAACAAGGATATACAGGTAAGTTCTCTTATGTTCTACTTATGACTGTAATAGTGCCTGCCCATTACAGTTGTAAGTTGTGGCAATCATAAAGTGAGTTGCCCATGTAACTGAGCAGATTTTATGACCTTTTTTGAGGCAGTGGTTATTAAGCGAATACTGCAGTTGTTAAGAAAACCAATTGTTTGCTAGGAGCTGCTTTGCAAAAACTGGAAGTAAATGCAAGTATTTGATAAAAACCTCATAAAATGAGGTCCCATACAGCTTAAAATGAGGTGCTGTGAATATGGACCGTTACTAATATGCAGTAATGTGATTCTGGTGTGTGTGTGTGTGTGTGTGTGTGTGTGGCAGGAGTACACCAGGAGAGGTCTATCATAACTTTGAATTTTCACTAAGCAACGGATCATAAGTTGAGGACTACCTGTAATGCAGCATAACCAATATTTAGCAAGCATCAATGCAGTTGTTTCTAATAAATAGTAAAAGGAAACCTGATAAATTTGTCCAGTGCTGATACTAAGAATAAGAGCTATAAATTCTTATTTTCTCATTCATGGTGTCTACATACATAAGGGAAATTGCATTTGTATGCTATGAAATGTGTGTAGATGACTTGTAAAATGAAGGGAAGAGACGCTGCCTAGGAAACAATCACACAAGAGAGGCAGGAACTCCCAGTGGCTTAATGGTCAGATAAAGAAACTTGGGAAAGATCTGCTCTAAAAGATCAAGCAGGTAAAGGTGGCAGGAAGTTTGTACCTTTGAACCTTTAGATTTGCAATATTCTGTTAATGTAGCCTTACAATAATCCAGTGGTGGGATTCAGCTAGTTTGCATCAGTTCGGCAGAACCGGTAGCTAATTTTTTTGTTGCCCAGGCCCAGAACAGACTTCCAGAAGCGGCATCCACACAGAGAAACGGTTGTTCACATATTTGAATCCCACCACTGCTCTTATGTAACTTTCAGAAAGTATTTTCTAGCCTCAGTTAAAATAGGCAAGCACTCCAATGAGAGACTCTGGCAGATATTTTGGCAAAAATTTCTTGGAGGACATGACATTATGGCATTTTGCCCATTTATTTTATGGGGTATCTAGATTGGGATACCTTTTGCTTTGATTTCAATGGTTTTTTAGCTGCTGCTTCCATCACAAATAAAATATCTTTGCCAAAACAAAACAGACAATAGCCAAATATTGTCTGTGGCCTGCTAAAGATAGAATGAATCTACCTGCCTGTGGCCCATTGCAAAATCAGAAACAAAAACAACCATGTTAATCTTTAAAATGCCACAATAGTTTTTTTTCTAGTTTTATTTGTAACTTTATAGCATGTGTCCTCCAAAGCTCCTCAGTATAGAATTCTTTTATAGTTGATTTTGGAGCCTGTCTTGAAATTTATCAAAGAAGGACAAGCTGGAAGCCAAGTGAGTCACCCTTTCCCCCCCTTCTGCTGTAATATTGGAAATTATGGATCTTACCCAAACTAAATTATTGGGTGTGTGTGTGTGTTAGATCTTACGTGAGAAATTCAGCAGAAATTGGGGAAGGGGGTTGACTGGCACATATTTTTTTTTCCCTATTATATCTCAGGTCTAGAATTTGTTTAGCCAGCAGAACTGAGATTTGATAAAAATGTTAAAGTGATACAATGGCAATGTTACTTTAGATCAGGGGTAGTCAACCTTGGCTCAGGAATTCTGGGAGTTGAAGTCCACGAGTCATAAAAGAGCCAAGGTTGACTACCCCTGCTTTAGATGCATTTTAGTATGGATTTCATCTGTATTTTTATTGGTAACCTGCCTAACATTCGTACTGTATGCATGACATTACTTTCCATCCAAATCCAATGATTACATTGAAGCATTCTCATGTCTGACTTTTAACAGTAAAATCATTTTTGCCTATTTTTTATTTATTCCAGGCAAACAGTAAAAAGAACAGAAAGCAAAAAATAAATAAATAAAACACAACACATTGCCAAGTTTTAGATTACACCCAATTTAAATATTACAAAATTCCTGGGTAACAGCTGACTAGACAAACTTGGCTATTTACATCTAAGTGACCAATATGGCATCTAAACAGTTTAACCATACGACTGACTACAAAAAAACAATTTATTGCTCTTCCCACCCTTCCTTCTGACTTAAGTAAAAAAAAAAACACAGAATTAATAGATTTCAGCCCTAAGATGCAATAAATAAAACCACTTCCTTCTATATTGCCACACGCGGAGGTCCACAACTGGGAGTTTCCCAGCTGGAAAGCCTGACTGCTATTTAAGGCCATCAGATCTGGTCTGCAGGGGGGAAAAAGTCACTAGATGGCAGTAAAGAAATGCAGAAAAGCCAATTCTTTTCAGGCAGATAAAGTACTTTGCCAGATGTTACATCCTGCCAGTGGGGCCAGAAAAAAGAATACTGTAGGTTAGGGGCAGCTATAGAACTTCAAATAAAA